ACCCACTTTGGTTCTGGTCTCCCCTGCAAGTGGTAGAGTCTAATCCATCAATTCTAGGTCAGGAACAGTACAGTATTGTATGGTTCAATCTCCAATCTCTTGCTTTCTAGTGTAGAAGCCAACCTCAAGCAATAGGCATAACTGCCAAGTTCACAAGTCCCCAGATAAATGTCCCCAGCAAAGGAAACCAACAACAAACTTGGCTGGAGGGTTCGTGCAGCAGAAACAATCCCAAAGCTCTTGTGAATCTGGGGCACTGAGCCCGGAGGCCGGCTTCCGATTTGGAAGTGCAGCAAGCTTAGGAAGCAGATACCGGAAGCCATTGGCCAAGGCAGAACCATCAGAGGAAGATGGGTTGCTCCTGGCCAGTTAAAAGACGATAGGTGGAGGCTGGCATGGTTTTGATATGGACCTGCAAGGAAGGAGAAAAACACAGGGCTTGTCTGAAGCTGAGTGATGCCACACTAGGTTCACATGGGGAGGGTCTGTGGCGGGAGGATGTTCGCCTGGTCACAAAATGGCTGTCATATGTGTTATGAGCTATATCAGGGGTCGCCAATCTTTCTGAGTTGGCTGCCCAAGGCGGGGTGGTGATGGAGGGCGCCTTTATGCATGTGTGCACAGGGTCGCGAGTGTGCACACGAACTGGGTTGCGATTGTGCATGCAGTGCAAATGAGGCCACGAGCGCCTGGGCAACACTCAGGAGATGCTGTGAGCGCACACTCCCGTTGTGGCATCACTAGCGTCGACACGACGCTAGCGCGAGTGGGGGAAGGGTGCAGGCACGCACACACACATGCACTGGCCAGCCACTCACGTGGCCCACGGGTTGGGGACCCCTAATCTATATCAGTTTTTTTTTTTTCAAACTTGGGAACTTGGAAGATAGGCGGATTTCAACTCCCAGAATTCCCTGGGGAATTCTGGGAGTTGAAGTCCCCCTATAGCAATGCTGGCTGGGGAATTCTGGGAGTTGAAGTCCGCCTATTAGCAATGCTGGCTGGGGAATTTTGGGAGTTAAAGTCAGCCTATAGCAATGCTGGCTGGGGAATTCTGGGAGTTAAAGTCTGCCTATAGCCATGATAGTGAACCTACGGTACACGTGCCACAGGTGGTACGCAGAGCCATTTGTGCTGGCACATGAGCTGCAGGCAAACTTACCTCACTGCGCATGCGCACGCCTCACAGCTGATTTTCGGCCAGTTTGAGGCCTTTTTTAGCCTCCCAGAGGCTTGAGGAAAGCCTCTGCAGCCTGAAAAATAGGCCCATTTTGTCACTTCCTGTATTTCCAGAAATACTGGAAGTGACAAAACGGGCCTATTTTTCGGGCTGCAGAGGCTTTCATCAAGCCTCTGGAGGCCGAAAAAAGGCCTCAAATGGGCCAAAAATCAACTGGGAGGCACAGTGCAGGTGAGGGGACGTGGGATGGGGGAATTGCATGCGCATGCACTGAGGCAGGGGCGCGCGCATTGCCTTCTGGGTGCTGACATGCAAGCACGTGCACACATAGTTTTTGGCACAGGAGCCAAAAAAGGTTAGCCACCATTGGCCTACAGCAGGGGTAGGGAAACGTGGTTCTTTTATCACTTATGGACTTCACTCCCAGAATTCCTGAGTGAGCCATGAAAGGTTCCCCATCCCTGGCCTACTGGTTTTTCAGTTGTGGGGGAAATCAATTTTTGACTTGAATGGGACTGTCTAATATACAAATGTAATATACAAATGTAGGACATATATGTATAAATGTACGACATAAATGTAGCACATATATGTCCTACACTTGTATATTAAATAGTCCCATTCAAGTCAAAAATTTATTTCCCCCACAACTGAAAAACCAGTAGGCCAGGGATGGGGAACCTTTTATGGCTCCCTCAGGAATTCTGGGAGTTAAAGTCCATAAGTGATAAAAGAGCCAAGTTTCCTTACCCCTGGCCTATAGCAATGCTGGGGAATTCTGGGAGTTGAAGTCCACCTATCTTCCAAGTTTGAAAAACATTGGCCTATATTCATTGCAAATGTAAGGGAAAATCCTCCCTTCTACCCTCCTCATTCCTCTCTTCTCTTCTTATCACACCCATTTCAATTTGGGTTTCTGGGATTCGATTATTATATCCATTAAAAATTAGGCCGCATTCCAAGAATCCTTGCAAACTCTGGTTCCTTGTCTCGGCCTGCTTCAAAGGGCTGACCTCAATCTTGAAGCCCTGGTCCAAGTTTCTACCTGTCCTAACTTATCCTACCCAAAATCAAGGTGGAGTTTTTGGATTTCTGTCACTTGACTGTGTGACGGCTTGTCTTAAGATACGCTTTAATATAGGTAGTCCTTGACGTACGGCCATTGGTTTAGTCGTTCAAAGTTACGATGGCACTGAGAAAAACGGACATTTACGACCGTTGCAGTGTCTCTGAGGTCATGTAATCAAAATCTGGACACTTGGCAACTGGCATGTATTTCTGACTGTTGTGATGTCCTAGGGTCATGTGATCATCACTTGTGACCTTCCCAGCCCGCTTCCAACAATTAAAATAAATGGAAAAGCTGCTTTGGTTAACAACCATGTGACTCGCTTAACAATCATGGCACACACGTAAAATTGGACCTGACTCACTTAATAACTGCATTACTGAGCAATGGAAGTTCCAGTCTTAATAGTCTATGGAGGTTCTCAGTCATCCAGGTCATGGTTGACCCAAAGGTGCTTTTTTTCAAGACACAATTGGATTTTCTTGGTTTTTCTTTGAAGAGGTTTCCCTTCTCATCCAAGAAGCTTCTTCAGCTCTCACTGGATGGTGGGGAATGGAAGGATTGATATTCCTTGCAGACAGCTGGTCATTTGCATTTTTTTTTAAAGAGTCGTTGAGGCCACTTGGAGGTTTATCGGTGTCCTCAGGGTCACTGGAGCCTTCTTGGCTGAAGGATGTTTTTTCTGTGCTGGGTCTTTTCCTTGTTGAACTCAGGTGCAGGCAGTTGGGGATGAGTCTGCATTTCAAACTGAAGTGCAAACGGTTCCTGCAGTCTGCAATTTTTCTGGAAATCCGTTCATACTCCCCACACCTTTGGGACTTCCAGTCCTAATTGTGGTTGTAGGTCAAGGCGTACCACCTGTAGCTTTTTCCGACATTCCCCCAAATCAGCTCTAAGGCCTTTACTGAGATTCTGCTTTATTGCTTCAGCCTCAACCTGTATTTGCCATTTCAGGCAATCGATGCAACTCAGCTTGTCTTCCGCTTACGACCATGATTTGAAACCAAATGTATGTTGCTAAGCAAGACAGTTATTGAGTTTTGTCTCCCTTTTACAACCTTTCTGGTTAAGTGCACTGCACACTACTCAGTTGTTAAGTAGAAGGTCACAAAAGGGGATCACATGACCTTGGGGCACTGCAACCACCATAAATATAAACCAGTTGCCAAGCATCCAAATTTTAATCACATGACTGCAACCATCGGAAGTGTGAAAAGCTGGTCATAGGTCACTTTTTTCAGTCCCGTTGAAAATTCCATCACTAAACAAATGGTTGTAAGTCAAGGACTTGGGTTTGCCATCAACCCCAGTTCCAAAAAACCTTTTCACAAATTTGTTGACGTCCGAATTTTTTGGGGTTTGAATTGTTTTTAATCCTCGCCCAAGAAATCCCCAGGAAGAAAGAGGAGGAAGCTCGTTCGGTGTGGCTTTTTCACAATCGGCTTTTCACAACTAGAGATTCACGCTGTGCACGTACCTCGCTGACCGCCTGGCTAAGGATCTGGATGATCTTCTCATGCGGCATGGCCACCACGCTCTGCCCGTTGATCTCAATGATGCGATGTCCCACGCGGACGCCACCACGTTCTGCAATCCCGCCACGCATGAGGCTACAGATCTGGGCACAGGAAAAAGTCCACTTGTATGGCTAGCCCACACCCACCCATGTGCCAAGATTTTGCCCAGGCACAATCCCCAATTTCCAAAACCTCACCGTCAATCCGATATGGATTGTAATTTGTAACCTGAATTCCCTCTAAACAGGGAGCTTGGCTTAACTTGTCTCAGCCCCCCCCCCCCCAGACTACTCACGATGCCATTTTCCACAGAGAAACCCAGGGGATATTTTGTGCCAGGCCTTCGAACAATTGCTGTAGTGACAGGAGGGCAATGAACAATGCTGAGGGTTACTTCAGTCTGGTTTTTCATATCCTGGGAAAAAAGAAACTTTTACGTTGACCTGAAGTTAAGATCAATGCACTCCACCAACAGCAGTAACTTGTTTTATTGCTGGCCGAGGAATTCTGGGAGTTGAAGTCCAGACATCTTAAAGTGGCCAACATTGAGAAATGCTGTGCTAAATGATGCAGATTGACTGCAGAATATGGAGAATGTCTTGACAGCACATCTGTCAGGGCTCCAACAAATCTACCCCCATTCAAATCATAAGCCTCTAGCTGCATCTCTCAAGAGTAAAAAAAAATGTTTTATTAGGAATGGCCATGTTGGTGTTAGCTGGGTGCAGCCGACACTAAAATACACCATTCATTTCCCCCTTGACCATGGTCTTTCCCCCACCCTGTGGATGTATATTCTCCAATGGGACACATCCATAGCCAAGAGTCATCAATCATGCTCTCCAATAATATTCTTGCCTGCCAACAGCTTTGGGCTGCCAAGGCGATTATCGAGGTATTTGAGGAATGCACTGCTTTCCCCCCCATTCTCTTTCTGCTGGCAACTAAAAAGACCAAAGGAGTATTATTATTTTTTTAGTTGACAACATCATTTAGCAAAGGGCTCCCTAATCCCTGGGCTGCAGACCACTAACATGGCCTATTTGGATCTGGGCCACGCAAGCGTCGGGCTGGCGTGCGCACACACACGCCCAGCTCCAATCGCACGAGAGGTGAGTCAGTGAGTATGTGCGTGCGTGCCAGCCCGCTGCTTGTGCAGCCCGGTTCTCCTCTATACCTGCCCAGCTGAGCCACCAAGGTGCCAAGGAGGGGGACTGCTGATTTAGCAAAGCCAAAAACGACCATTTTGCTCTAAATCAAGGGTCTTCAAACATGGCATGTGGACTTTCAACTCCCCAGAATTCGTCAGCCAGCAAAGCTTAAAGTTGCCAAGGTTGGAGACCCAAGTTCTAGTCCAGTAATGGCGAACATTTTTGTTGTGGTGTGCCGAAAGCGCGCGCATACCACCACCCACAATGCAATGCGCCCCACCCCCCTGCGCATGCGCGCACACACCCCTTACCTGCACTGCACATGTGCATGCCTCCCAGCTGATTTCCGGCCCGTTTGAGGCCATTTTCGCCTTCCTGGGGGCTTGAAGGAAGCCTTTGTAGCCTTTGGAGGCCGAAAAACAGGCCCATTTCGGCACTTCTGGTTTCGGCTCTTCCGGTATTTCCGGAAGGCCTGTTTTTCGATCTCCAAAGGCTGCAGATGCTTCCCTTGAGCCCCCAGGTGGGTGAAAAAGGCCTCAAATGGGCCGAAAATCAGCTGAAAGGTGCATGCATGCACAGTGCAGTTAAGTTTGGCTGGAACTCACGTGCCCGCACAAATGGCTCCGCACATAGGTTCGCCATCACGGTTCTAGCCCAAGGGTCTTCAGACGTGGCAACTTTAAGACTTGTAGACTTCAACTCCCAGAATTCCTGAGCTAACATGACTGGAGGAGGAATCCTGGGAATTGAAGTACACAAGTCTTAAAGCTGTCAAGTTTAAAGGCCCCCTGCTATAAATCAAGAGACCCCATTCCCTCCCGCAAGTGTATGCTACTAGGAGCTGATGACGCCTCCATAACAGGTCTGAACATGAAGGGGGCAGAGTCAGAAAGTAGGTGGTGTGATGGAATGTATTCCAGATTCCCAGGGCTGCATTCCAGAAGAGCAAGAGGCAGCGAAGGTTAGATCGTTTGCGTGGGAGAAAGAGAATGAAGATGGCTCCTCCCGACTAGTTCTCAGGGTAAAGGTAGTCCTCAACTTATAACAATTCATTTAGTGACTGTTTAACAATGGCACTGAAAGAAGTGACTTAGAACTGTTTTTCACACTTACGACCGTGGTAGCATTCCCCACCGTCACATGATCAAAATTAGGATGCTTGGCAACTGGTTCCTATTTATGATGGCTGCAATGTCCCGGGGTCATGGGATCACCCTTTGCAACCTTTGGCCAAGGAAAGTCACTGGGGAAATCCAGATTCACTTAACAACTGGGTTACTAACTTATCGAGTGCAATGCTTCACTTAACAACTGTGGCAAGAAAGGTCGTAAAATAGGACAAAACTCACTTAACAACCATCTCGCTTATTTTATTTTTATTTATTAGATTTGTATTGCCGCCTGTTCGCCACGATGACTCAATAGAATATTCTAGCAATAGAAATGTTGGGCTCAATTGTCGTTATAAGCTGAGGACTATCTGAACTGTATCAATCATCTGAAATGGCAAATCCAGGTTGAGGCTGAAGACATAACTCTGGAGTAAACACTGATGCTAGGAAAGTTGGAAGCAAAGAAAAGAGGTTGACCCGCAATAAATGGATGGATTTAGCTATAGTAGTGATAGGGAACTGTGTGGTGGCCTAGTGGGTGGAGCTCTCGCCTCACAATCAGGAGGCTGTGAGTTCGATCCTAGGTAGCGGCAGCTATTCCTCTCTCTCTGGGCACAACAAGAAAATATCTGCTGTGGACTCATCTTAGGCGTCAGAAAGGGCATCCAGCCAGTAAATGCTCGGCTCCATTCAGTTGCCCTGACTCCATCCCTATGCAAGGGATTGCAGGAGCATTTAAAGAAGAAGAAGAAAAGTTACAGTGGGGATGGAAGACCTAAAGGACCAAATGGGGCAGCTTGCCCTCGGAAGCTGTGGGAGCACCATCACTTGAGACTTTCAAGCAGAGATTGGACTGCCATTTGTCAGAAACGGTGTAGGGTCTCCTGCTTGGGCGGGGGGTTGGACTAGATGACCCACAAGGTCCCTTCCAACTCTGATTATCTGTTATCATCTGTTATCCTCCTGGAGAAGGAAACTGCATTTCATGACATTTTTCCTGAAAACTGACATTCACTTCCCATTTTTGGCAAAACCAGCCCATAATGAACAATTGCTTTGCTTAATGACCATGGCGTTTGCTTAATAACTGCCACAAAAATCATAAGATTGGGCCAGTTATGTGTGTGACCTGCTTTAGATTGTCATGACTTATGAACCTAATGGAGCCTGGCCAGTCGTAAGTCAAGGACTACCCTTTACCTTGCTTCCACAAGGCCTGGAAGAGATCATCAACCGCGATCTTTGATCTCTTGGAAATTATGCCCCACCCTTTGCTTTTCTAGCACGTATTCAGCCTGGGAGCAACAACAATTTTATCATCTCTTTTGCGTGCCGGACAAACTGGTTTGAGTTCAAAACAGCCCTAAGCAGGGCTGGGCCTAATTAATATGTATGTGTATGGGTAATATTTATTATGGCCAAGAGACCTAAATGGGACATAATGTGTTGGCAGATAAGAGAAAATCCTAGGGCTGGAGGCTAGACTCAGAAGTGAAAAAAAGAATATTCTAGGAAAAAAAGTGGAATGGCAGAGCATATCTATAGAGAGATGATTGGCCAGTCCTTTCTTCTAGGAATCGGAGTCTCCAAACCTGGCACCTTTAGGACTTGTGGGCTTCAATTCCCAGAATTCCCTGGGAGCTATGCTGGCTGGGGAATTCTGGGGGTTTTAGATTACGGATTAACAAGAGTTGGAATGGACCTTATAGGTCATCTTGGAATGGACCTTATAGGTCATAGCAGGCCCTACACCAGGGGTGTCCAACCTTGGCAACTTTAAGACTTGTGGACTTCAACTCCCAGAGTTCCTCAGCCAGCAAAGCTGGCTGAGGAACTCTGGGAGTTGAAGTCCACAAGTCTTAAAGTTGCCAAGGTTGGACACCCCTGCCCTACACCATTTCTAACAGATGGCAGTCCAGTCTCTTCTTGAAAGTCTCAAGTGGGGACGCTCCCACAACTTCCGAAGGCAACTTCTGTTCCATGGGTTGATTGTTCTGTCAGAAAATTTATCCTTATTTCCAGGTTGAATCTCTCCTTGTTCAGTTTCCATCCATTATTCCTTGTCTGGCTTTCGGGTGCTTTGGAAAATAGCTTGACCCCCTTCCTCTCTGTGGCAGACCCTCCAATATTGGAAGAGTGCTATCATGTTTTCCTTGATTCTTCTCTTCAACCAGCTCCTGCAACTGTTCGTCGCAGACCCCTGCTCTAGGGCAGGGGTGGGCAACTATGGCCCTTTTATGAATTATGGACTTCAACTCCCAGAATTCCTGAGCAAGCCATGCTAGCTCAGGAATTTTGGGAGTTGAAGTCCACAAGTCATAAAAGGGCCATAGTTGCCCACCTCTGCTCTAGGGTAGTCTTGCCAGGAAAGCTAAATGAAGATGCTCACATGATTCCCCAGGGATTGAAAGAATACTAAAATCACACAATTGGAAGAGAATTTATAGGTCATCCAAATCAACCCCCCCTGCTCTATGCCAGATGCTCATCTGACTACTGAGAATCCAGCCTTGAGTTGAAGACCTCTAGCTTGACCTGAGGGCTGCTTTCTCTTTTATTCCCAAGCAAAAAAAGTAATAAATAGAATCATCGGAGTCCTCGCTTTCTCACCCGTATGATGTTCTGGCACGAGACAAGGGGCAGCCCCACGAGGCTCGTTCCGTTGATGGACATGATGCGGTCTCCAATGTTCAGCTTGCCGGATCGCTCGGCCGCTCCCCTGTGCATCAGGTTTGCAATGACCACAGTGGGAAGGATGGATCCCCAACCAGATTCTACAATCACCACGCCCAGAATCGCGCCCTTCTGCTTGGAGATGACGACCTGTATGGAGACACCGAATGGCAGAGGAGAGATCTGTTGCACTGAAAGAGAGAGATCAAGTCAGCAGGTTCTGACCAGTTCTGGAGAACCGGTAGCGGAAATTTTGAGTAGTTGGGAGAACCGGCAAATACCACCTCTGACTGGCCCTGCCCCCATCTATTCTCTGCCTCCTGAGTCTCAGGTGATTGGCTGGGTCTTCTTTGGTTGCCCTGCACAGGAGAACAGAGCTGGAAAGCAGGTTAGTGGGATGGGGAGGGAATGGGATTTTGCAGTAACCTTGCCCCAGGAATGGGCAGGGAATGGAGATTTTACAGTATCCTTCCCCTGCCATGCCCCCCAAGCCATGTCCTCCAAGCCACGCCCAGAGAACCGGTAGTAAAAATTTTTGAATCCCACCACTACATCAAGTGTTTCATCCTTTATGGTGCCCTGGGAATCTACAACAGCTACTGTCATCCAAATCAGTGTTTCTCAACTTTGGCTTCTTGAAGACGGGTGGACTTCAACTCCCAGAATTCCTCAGTCACTTTTGTGACTGTCGGATGTTATGACAAACGCTTCAAAAACTGCTTATCTGGTTCTGAAATTCCAACTTAGGCCTCTCTCCTTCCACAGCCACATGACCATATTTTAGAGCAAGAGTCTTCAAACTTGGCAAGTTTAAGACTTGTGGACTTCAACTCCCAGAATTCTGAGCTAACATGGCTGGAGGAGGAATACTGGGAGTTGAAGTCCACAAGTCTTAAAGCTGTCCAGTTTGAAGACCTCTGTTTTAGAGGCTCAGCAACCAGTCCACAGTTAGTTTTGTGGGAAACTAGGATTATTTCCAGTTTCCATCAAAAAAGGATCCATAACGAACAATAGGTTTGCTTAACAATTGTGGCATTTGCTTAACGATAACCACAAAAACGGTCATGAAAACAGGTCCAGTCACATGGTGATCCACTTTATAACTGTCACAATTTACAACCATCATTCCAGGCTTAATTATGGTTGTAAGTCAAGGATTATCTCTATAGCTGATGGAAGTTGGGAACAGACTTACGTACTTCCAAGTCTTATTATATACAGGTAGTCCTCGACTTACAACAGTGACTGTTCAAAGTTACAATGGCACTGAAAATAGTGTCTTATTACCATTTTTCACACTTACAACCACTGTAGCATCCCCATGGTCACATGATCAAAATTCAGATGCTTGGCAACTGGTTCATATTTATGACGGTTGCAGTGTCCTGTGGTCGTGTGATCAGCTTTTGCAACCATCTGATAAGCAAAGTCAATGGGGAAGCCAGATTCACTTAACAACCATGTTACTAATAACAAATACAATGATTTACTTAACAACTCTGTCAAGAAAAGTCGTAAAATGGGGCAAAACTCACTTTACAAATATTTCACTTTGTAAGATAAATTTTGGGCTCAATTATGGTCATAATTTGAGGACTCCCTGTATCTGTCCAGAAAACGGAACAAGGAAGGGGATTCTTTTAATCTCCTGTGACTGCGAGGACTTTAAAAAAAAAAAAAGTCGATAATAAGTAGATAAAAATGCCAAATCCAGTTTGGACATCTGGCTGACTGTGTCACGAACCTCAATATGAATAACTATAACATAACAACATTATGGGAAAATGGAGTTGAAAAATAGTCCAGAATGAACAGGTTAAAATATTGTGGGATTTCCAAATATAAACTGATAGAGTGTTGGCACATAACACACAGGATTTAACAGCGGCTGAAAAGACAAAAGTGTGGAAAATTGATGGGGCAAAATCAGGGGATAGTAGACTAAAAGACAAAGAATTGATGGTGATCACAGTTTCAAGACCTGAAATTCAAAATTGAAAGATTATGGCATGAACCAGATATGGTGGACCCAGTGATTATCGGTATACCGGGTGCCATACCAAAATAAATCCCATAGGTGCTTTTTCAAAAGGCAACAGGACTTCCTTGGTTTTTGGTAGACAACTTTTGGCACAACCAAAAGGATGATTGTGAATCTCCACAGACACACCAAAAAATATTGGATGGCACTTAGAAAATCTGCACATTGACAATATTTTCATTGTCAATGGCAAAAGGCCAGATGGCTCGGATCCAAACACATATACTATGCCAATGCTTTACAACTTCCCAGGTTGTTGGGAAGAACTCAGTGCAAATAAAGATCAATGCCAGCTAAAGGCCTGGCAGCTGTGACTTCACCTTGCTGAGTATATGATGATAATGTACTCCATTTATATGCTGCCTGACCTCTTAGAGATTAAAGTGCGTGTGTGAAACCAGACCTCTTAAATGCAACCGAAGCTTAATAAAGTTATTTTAGCACGTACTTGTTTTTTAAAAAAAACAAAAAACAGGAAAATATCGTGCAACTGAAATACTTTGTGCAACTGGAAATCAGCAATTTGTCATATATTTCAGAAGCCCTGGGGACAGAGAGAACAAGGAATTGCAATCAACCGCAATAGAGAAGGTGGGTTCCATGTTTTCCTTTGCTGCTCATGTTTTGGCCTGACAAACCACAGAGTATTTCCGCTGCAGGTTGGGACACATGTTTTTTGTCCCAATGAGCCTTTCGTCCTCCCCCACCTCCCATTGAAAGAAAATATGTCTATTGCTATTTAGCCTTCTTGCCTTTGTTTCACCCACTTTAGGAAATCATTGTTTTCTTTGAAAAAATAACTTGCTGAGAAGAAGAAAAAAACTGGGAAAAGCTTTGCTGTGTAAAGTTAAAAAAACAACCACAGGAGATGAATTGTTCTGAGGAGAATATTCTGTTTTGTTTTTTTCCCCCAGGACAAGACTAATCAGTCTCACCCAGGGAGATTGTCAGTTTTCTGGATATTACTCTTCCAGAACCACTTCCTATATTAAGAACATTTATTGCCAAAATACCGTCAAACCACTCCCTCTGGGGTTAAATTTCACGGTCTGGGGAAAAGATGGAACGTTCTGGAGAATCCTGACATGTTCTCACGCTGGACAAAATGGAGGCAGCCAATTGAACAACTTAAAGGATCTTCTACTGGCTATCAAGATCATTTATTTCTTTATCCATTAATATGAATTGGAATATCTTATCATAAAATGTGACACAATACAAGAAGTCCTCCACTTACGAAAGTAATGGGGCCTGTCCGTTATGGTTGTAGGTCATGGTGGTTTTAAAGGGGATCACTCACATGACTGGCCTGATTTTATGGCCTTTTTTAAAATGAGGGTTTTTCAGTGAACCAATTGTTTGCTATGAGCCACTTTTGCTGACAACCGGAAGTAAATGCCAGCTTTTGGTAAAAAAAAACACATCATAAAATGTGGCCATGTGATGATGCTGCAAATAAGCTGTAAATGTGGGTTAGTTATCAAGCGCCCAAAATAGTCACATGGCTACAGGGTGTGTATGTGTGCCCACTGATGACCGGTCGTATTTACAGATCTTTCCCAAGGTTTATCAATCCAGTACATTTAATAAACCCTCTTGGGCAACTATAGTCCTTTCATGACCTGTGAACTTCAACTCCCAGAATTCCCGAGCCAGCATGGCTGGCTCGGGAATTCTGGGAGTTGAAGTCCACAGGTTATAAAGGGCCCATACTTGCCCACCCCTGCTCTTGGGGCACAGAGCTGGGGATTTTCCCATTTCTCATTAACTACAACCCTCAGTGGGCCGACCTTTCAAAAACAATCATTTCACACTCTTGATCTTTTCTTGTGTATCTGCCTGAAATGCAGCTAAACAGCAAGATGGTGAAAATAATGAACTTCCTGCCAGCTCAGTGGGTGTGCTGGACTACAGCTTCCATCATTCCAACCAGCTACAGGCTGTGTGTGTGATGTCATGGAGTTGTAGTCCAATGCATCCAGAGAGCCAACCAGGCCAAGACAAGATTAGTGAAGACTGAGTGGCCTGCCGAACCATTTAGAACCAATTCTAAGGCCCAACAGAGGGGAAGCATTTGAAATGGGTGGTAGCTATTTCCTTCTGTGGTGGTTAGGCATTTCCAATGCTCTCCACCTCTAGCAAAACACCTCCTCTCCATTCTTACTTCCTTACAGTTCTCTTGCTTGGAGAAGTGAGCCAGGTCTCCATTATAAAGCTCCTCTCCCTCGATCAGGCTGGGGTGATCCTTCTCATCATCATTCTGGTCTTGCATGGAGCCCAGCTGGCTGGGGTCAATGCCACTGGCCCGCAGGAAGTGCTGGTAAGCCACGCTAAAGACTTGCCCAATGGCTTGGGCTATCAGCTGAGCCTGTAGGGCAGGAAGCAGCAAATGACAAGCATTTCCACAGTTACAGGACTAGCTTCTTTCCAAGTGTGCAGTTACTCTAACACAGGGGTGTCAAATTCAAGGTCCGGGGGCTGGATCCGGCCGGCAGGGTGCTTAGATGTGGCCCATGGGGCCGGCCTGGAAATAGCAAAGGACCAACTCACAGTGCCTCTGCCAGCAAAAATGGAGCCTGCGAAGGGCCACATGCAGCTTTTTCGAGCTCCGTTTTTGCTGGCAGAAGATTGCAGGAGTTCGTCACAGCCGAAAACTGAGATTGCAAGGGCTGTGCATCCCACCCATTGCCCTGAGCTCTGTTTTCGCTGGCAGGAAGCCATCACAGCTGAAAACAGAGCTCAGGAGCCCATTTTTGCTAGAACAACATTCAGTTCCACCATAGGCATCCCCGACACAAGTGACATCATGCTGGCCACACCCACCCTGGGCACACCCATCCCGGTCCCCCGTGGTCAAACACAACCCTGATGCGGCCCTCAATGAAACCAAGTTTGACACCCCTGCTCTTAACAAGACAAGATCTACTCTAATTGAGAGAGTGGGCGCACATCTGAACTCTGCTTGTCAGTGTTGTCCACCAACATCTCTCCACACTCACGTCAGATGAGTGGAACACGTGGCAGATCATTTTGTACAGCTGTTTTTCGGTGGAAGCATCCGCCCGGCGAGGGAGCTTCCGACGGGCCATGAGCACCACGATGTTCCCAATGTCAGCAATGTAGGAGATGGTCTGGAGGGGGTGATCCATCATGGTTTCCTAAGGTGGCAAGGAGGCCGGAGAAGTAGAAAGGAAGAAACAGACCAGAAATGACAGGTTGCCATTTCACAGAATACTCTCCAACTGTCTGGGAAATATTCTCAACTGTGTCCTCTGGATGTGCTGAACTACAGCTCACATCATCCTCTGCCAGGCTGGCCTCCATGCCTGTTGCAGGAGCCCCCAGTTTGTTCTACAGCTTGTTTCACAGAATGTACTGGCACAAACATTTCTAGTGATGCGTCACTTTCCAGAACTTATACAAAAATCACATTGTTGTAAAATTGAGTTAAAATATCTGTGTGTGTGTGTGTGTGTGTGTATAATTTGTTTTCTTAAGTTTTCGCGGGTACTTACATGTATGGCATTCAGCTTTGTTCGGGTATTTTCCCACGTCATTGTAGTTGTGCTTTTAAAGTTGTAGCAACGTTTCGGCAGAATCTCATCTGCCTGCTGAAACGTTGCTACAACTTTAAAAGCACAACTACAATGACGTGGGAAAATACCCGAACAAAGCTGAATGCCATACATATATATATATGTGTGTGTGTGTGTGTGTGTGCACGCACGCGCGCATGTGCGTGTATCTCCATACACATACAACAGAGTTAGACAATTATGGTGCCAATACACCCCCAGACACTGCTTGTGATTGATTTGATTTTAGAACAGGCAGTCCTTGATTTTTGGTGCTTGGCAACTGGCTTACATTTATACATTTGTAGTATCCTGAGGTCATGTAATCATGTTTGAGAATTTTTTTCAGCAAAAAACACCCATTGGATAGGCTGGATTCAGACCTACAACCATGGTTCACTTAACAGCCATGTGATTCGCTTAACAACCATGGCGACATACTTAATGACTGTCCTAAAAATGTCATAAAATCAAGTCTGGTCTCAACATACAACCTCAACAACTTAAAATCAAAATTCCAGGCTCAACTGTGATCGTAAATTGAGGACTATCTGTACTGTAAAGATTGCAATTATTTAATAAAAAATATTATACCCTAAAGAAAAGTGTAATTCTTTCCTGTCAGCCTGTCCCCAGTCGTTTTGTGAGAGGAACCCCCCCCCCCCGGTAGCCCTTTTGAGGACACACCACAACAGTCTTAAAATTTCAATGCCCCACCCCATTAATCTTAAAAAAAGTGATATAGTTAAATGGAACACCCTGGTTATAGGGAGGAAGCAATGGCATAGTTTCATTAGTTGGTCTTCTGGATAAGGGACATTTTGTGAGTAGCCATCCCTCCCGCAACCCCAAGGCAGCCATTTTGGGCCTTGTCCACTGGACATGATCTCAAATGGAGGTAGCAGGCTGAATGCTTTTTGAGCGGGCAGCTGTCAATGCACCTGTGTATCGGCACTGAGGACCTTAATCCGTTGAGTGGAGACAAAGAGATCTACTTCGGTCATTGGCTGGGATTCTCCTTCTGGTGCCTGCATTGGAAAGAAAACATGTGAAGGAAAGAGGTCAGGATTGGAGAGATAATAGGTAATTGTGGCATGGAGTTTCCTTAAGATCCCAACAGATTTGGCCTAATTTAACCCAACATGGTTGACCAAAGACACAAAGCCCACATCAGGGTGGTGGAGCTCAACCACCCTGTTCACCACTTAATGCTCCACTAACTACACTGAAAAGATAAGCTGCTCTTGAACATGGAGGTTCCATTTTGCTGCAATTGGAACAGAGCCCCCTTTTCTTCGATGCAACTGAGTATAAGTAGTCCTTGACTTACAACAGTTTAGTGACCGTTTGAAGTTATACTAGCACCAAAAAAGTGACTTATGGTTGTTTTTCACACGATCGTTGCAGCAGACACATGATTAAAATTCAGAAGGTTTTTAATTGACTCATATTTATGACGGTTGCAGTGTCCTGGGCCCAAGTGATCACTTTTTCGACCTTCTGAGAAGCAAAGTCAGTGGGGAAGCCAGCTTCACTTAACAACCATGTGACTAACCCAACAGCGGCAGTGATTCCATAACTACTGCGGCAAGAAAGGCCGTAAAATGGGGCAAAACTCACACCTGTCTCACTTAGCAACGGAAATTTTGATCTCACTTGTGATTGTAAGTCGAGGACTACCTGTAGATGTAGCTATCAAGGTTCCCTCTTGGTGTCCCATTCCTGCTGTTCCCACCTTAATCCTATCGACGGCTTCCTGGGCCTGAGCCATGCGGATGGTTGTAGATGGGTTTTTCTCAGAAACCAGCTGTGTGGAGCCCAGATATTTGGCTCCAAAGATCACCCCTTCCAACAGATCTTCGGGCTCACAGGGACCTGGGACTGAGACATATAGAAAAGGCTTGTTTAATAACATTATTATTCTCAGTGTCATCAACCATTCCTCATCACCATAAGGTACCCTATGTAGCATATGTTAACAATATCCTACGAGCAGTGGTGGGATTCAAATGTTTTTACTACCGGTTCTGTGGGCGTGGGTTGGCGGGCGTGGCAGGGGAAGGATACTGTAAAATCTCCAGTCAGAGGTAGGATTTACCGGTTCTCGGAACTACTCAAAATTTTCGCTACTGGTTCTCCAGAATATGATCTCTGTGATCACATTAAGAGCAAGCGCGTTCTCTTCGCTGATGATGTAAAGCTATTCAACACCACAGAAAATACTGCTACCCTTCAAAAAGACCTCAACTATATATCAGAATGGTCAAACAAATGGCAACTTCAAATCTCAACAAATAAATGCTCCGTCTTACATATTGGCAAAAAAAAAATATCAGAAAATAAAATACAAGCTGAATAGTCAAGACCTTGTTGATGATCCAAACTCTGTCAAGAACCTTGGAGTACTCATCTCTAATGATCTAAGTGCTACAGCCCACTGTAACTACATAGCCAAAAAGGCATTTGAGTTGTTAACCTAATCTTATGTAGCTTTTTCTCTGGTAATATCACACTACTACTGTGTTTCTCATATAATAAGGCCGGGTCTTATTTTTTTTTGAGCCCCGAAAAAATGGCTAGGTTGTCTTTTTGGGGGTGACTTAATTCTCCCCCCTTGCATCTTCGGGCAGGCAGCGACGGCTTGGATGTTGACCTCGGCGTTGGTGGGGCACTTCGTATCGGGGTCAACGCAGACAGCACCATATCCGGGTGTGCAACAAAAGTACTTCCTAATGGCAAGCCCCCCATTCCCCCCATTTCGCATGTTTTAATATAGGCCTTAATTTGGGGGGGAGGGGTTTAATTTCATTTCATGCCTATAAAACATGCTGGGACTTCCTATTGGAGGAGGCCGTATTGTTGGAGAAACAGGGTAACTAGAGCATACAAGCATTGTATGACCGATACTCGAATACAGCTCATCAGTCTGGAACCCACATTACGTATCTCATATTAACACAGTTGAGAAAGTCCAGAAATATTTCACAAGAAGATTTCTCCACTCCTCTACTCGTTGCAGAATACCTTATGCCACCAGACTTGAAATTCTAGACCTAGAAAATCTAGAACTACGCCGCCTTCAGTCCGATCTAAGTATAGTATATAAAATCATGCATTGCAATGTCCTACCTGTCAATGAATACTTCAGCTTCAACCATAACAATACAAGAGCGCACAATAGATACAAACTCAAGGTTAACGGCACCAAACTTGATTGCAGGAAATACAACTTCAGCAACAGAGTGGTCAATGTCTGGAATACTCTACCTGACTCTGTGGTTTCTTCCCCAAACCCCAAAAACTTTAACCTTAGACTGTCTACTATTGACCTCACCCCTTTCCTAAGAGGTCTGTAGGGGGCGTGCATAAGCGCACCAACGTGCCTACCATCCCTGTCCTATTGTTTCTTTTTATTTTTCTTGTATGTATCCATTTCATGTATTCATAACTATGTTTACGCTTATACCTATTATCTTGTAAGCGATTGACAAATCAAATAAAAAAAGCCAAGCAGTTTCTCTGTCTAAGAAGGGACTAGAACTTGGGTCTCCCTGCTGCTAGGACTCATTGGCTCTTGGACTGAGAGGGAGGGACTAGTTAACCAATGACTTCTGTAGCTGAAGAGGAACTAGAACCTGGGTCTCTGGCTGAGGAATTCTGGGAGTTGAAGTCCACAAGTCTTAAAGTTGCCAAGGTTGGAGACCCCTGCTCTAATCCACCTAGTTCTCCGGTACATCTGATTGGCTCTTTGGGCTAAGAGGGAGGGAGGAAGGGGCAGGCCCAAAGTTCACATGACATAATAATCAATCAATCAAAATTCTTCACTTACCATCTTTATAAGGTGGGAAAGATGACATATTGCCTTTATTCTGTTAAAGAAAGAGGAAAGGGGAAAAAAGAGTTGGCTTTGTAAAGCTGGGGAGATCTTAATTATGTATTTATGACATTTATCTGACCACCTGAAACCTACTAGACTCTAGGCAGCTTACAACTTTACATAATAAAAACAGGATACAAAATCAGAATAAAATTACTTTACTAACCTCAAAGGCTAAAAATGGAGAATTGCAGAAATCAATCCAATTAATCCCCTTCAAACTCTGGATGCCTAACATTTTGTTTTAGAAATTTGACCTAAGCATATTTTTCTGTAAAGCTAAATAATCCTTGATTCCTGGTGTCAGCATCCATGCTGTCTTCTTGATATTTCCCCCTGCCCTTTTCTGATTTTTTTTTTTTAATTTCCCAATTTTTCTAGCCAAGAGCACTGGAATTTTTTAGAGGATTCTCATGAAAGTATTAGATCCAACCCTGCTTAGCATCTGGAATTGGCCAACGTTAGCTATGTAGTAATGATTTTATTGCAAGCACATTGTACTGATTTTGCACAACTGGTGCAAACTATGTAATTTATGCTGTTGTGTCATGATGTCACAATGCACACCTGATATCATGAGTTTTTACCGTAAGGTGATCAATCTAACCAGAAGGCAGCTTATTTTGGTCAGCACATTATGATGTTGAGATTCTAGAAAAAGTGCAGAGAAGAGCAACCAGGATGATTAGGGGATTGGAGACTAAAACATATGATGAACGGTTACAGGAACTGGGCATGGCTAGTCAAGGGAAGAGAAGGACCAGAGAAGACACGATAGCAGTGCTCCAATATTTGAGGGGCTGCCACAGAGAGGAAGGGGTCAAGCTATTTTCTAAAGCACCCAAAGGCCAGACAAGGAATAATGGATGGAAACTGAACAAGGAGAGATTCAACCTGGAAATAAGAAGAAACTTTCTGACAGTGAGAACAATCAACCAATGGAACAGAAGTTGCCTTCAGAAGTTGTGGGAGCTTCATTACTGGAAACTTTGAGGAAGAGATTGGGCTGCCATCTGTCAAAAAGGGTGTAGGATCTCCTGCTTGGGCAGGGGGTTGGACTAGATAACCTATAAGGTCCCTTCCAACTCTGTTAATCTGTTACTAATCTACTAAACCTCTGGAGACAATCTCCCAGATTATTTGGTTTCTGGCAGGATACCCATGTAATGAATGCACAACATTATTAAAATGGTGCCTTTCAGCTATTGTGCATGATCCTTAAAGTAAGACAGCTAACAGCATAGATAAGAGATAGTAGGAAGACAAAGATGCCGCTAATACAGGTAGTCCTCGAGTTATGACCACAATTGAGCCCAAAAATTATGTTGCCAAGTGAAACATTTGTTAAGTGAGTTTGCCCCATTTTACGATTTCTCTCTGTTTCCTCTGCTGTGGGTTGGACAAGGACAGAATGCAGGCCGGATGTGGCCCACAGACTGTAAAATGCCCACATCTAATGTAATTCCTATTATTGTATAACTATTCAATCGACAGGATTCACACAACAAAGCACAAACCAAGACAAAACCAAGGAAACCACATTCATCATCATGAGCCGCGGTGGTGCGGTGATTAGAGTGCAGTACTGCAGGCTACTTCTGCTGACTGCCGGCTGCCAGCAGTTTGGCAGTTCAAATCTCACCAGGCTCAAGGTTGACTCAGCCTTCCATCCTTCCCAGGTGGGTCAAATGAGGACCCAGATCATTGGGAGCAAAAGGCTGACTCTGTAAACCGCTTAGAGAGAACTGCATAGCAGTAACTGTGAGAGGGATCTTGGAGTCTTAGTGGACAACCAACTATGAGCCAGCAGTGTGCAGCAGCAGCCAAAAAAGCTAATGCAATCCTAAATTGCATTAACAGAGGGATACAATCGAGATCAAGTATCTACTAATACCACTCTATAAAGCCTTAGTAAGACCACACCTAGAGTACTGCATCCAGTTTGGTCACTACATTATAAAAAAGATGTTAAAACTCTAGAAAAAGTGCCGAGAAGAGCAAGCAAGATGATTAGGGGACTGGAGACTAAAACATATGAAGAACGGTGACAGGAACTGGGCCTGGCTAGTCTAGTGAAGAGAAGGACCAGAGGAGACATGATAGCAATCTTCCAATATTTGAGGGGCTGCCACAGAGAGGAAGGGGTCAAGCTATTTTCCAAGACACCCAAGGGCCAGACAAGGAACAATGGATGGAAACTGAACAAGGAGAGATTTAACCTGGAAATAAGGAGAAACTTCCGGACAGTGAGAACAATCAACCAATGGAACAGATGTTGCCCTCGGAAGTTGTGGGAGCGCCATCACTTGAGACTTTCAAGAAGAGATTGGACTGCGATTTGTCAAAAATGGTGTCAGGGTCTCCCGCTTGGGTGGGGGGGTTGGACAAGATGACCTATAAGATCCCTTCCAACTCTGATTATCTGTTAAAGCACTGTAAAGCGGTATATAAGTCTAAGTGCTATTGCTATTCTAGTTTACAATGATTTCATAACCCCATCAATGCAAACCAAGTTTGGTTAAACAAGCGACAGCAGCGTTTGCGCATGGTGCTAAGCCATAAATCATGGCTTGCAACAACCCACAAGTCAAAAAAGTAATCAAGGCCCCTTGATGACTTTCAGAGCAATGTGTGAACATTGTTCTGCAAGATACTCACCACTGGATCAGAGATGGGAGAGGAATCCTCCATGCGATTCAGGACAGGTCCCCCCACTGGATCTGGGGAGCCTTCCCAGCTGCGGGCCTCCAAGTTGGAGTCAGAAGAGGCAGCTGCTTCCAAGCTAGTGGATTCTTTTAGGAGCCTCGATCTGGGCCTGCGTCCTTTCCTTCTTCTCTCTTCCAGATCATCACAGGCAGGTTCAGAAGGGACCTTCTCTGGGGTTACAGCCCTTCCTTCAACTTCCATTTTCTGACATCCAGTCCTGATCATCACATCTGAGTGGGCCAGGGTTATCTGGTCATCTTCCTCCTCCTCCATGGAAATTCCCCCTTCGTAATGGAGGAGACTGAGCAGGTTCTCCTGGTGGGCTTCTGAGGAAAGCAATTCTCCACTTCTCTGTCCCTGGACAGATCTCAGGAGGTGCTGAGCGGCTGCCCGAAGGCCCTGCCCTGTGGCTACATGGAGTAGAGAAGGGGCATGTTTGTCCGGAGGTCCCTGGAGGTCCTCGGGATGCTCAAGGAGGGGCCGCCTGTCTCCATCTCCTAACCCGTGGCTTTCCTCGCCGTCAGAGGCAGCCAAGAGGTCATCTTCAGGAGTGGGCAACTTGTCATGGAAGCCAGGGTTAAGTCTCTGCAGTCGGGCAAAAAGCTTTAAGAACTCGGCCTGGTCAGCCTCTGGAATCTCCTCTTCCACATCCTTCTCCTCTAGTTCCTTCAGAATTTCACCCTGGTCAACAGAGATCTTGAGGTTACTCTCTACCTCTGAGGAGACCTGGTCTGGTTTGGGTGTCCAGCATATGTTCTCTTTCTGAGCTGAAGTTTTGGCTCCCTCCTCCATACCATTCCTGTTGAGGAAAACCAAACTTTTAACATTTCTCCAGGTCACAAGAGAAGCTGCCTGCCCCAAGAAGGGAAGTCAATGCAAAATATATTCATATTCATAATTTATTCATATATATAAATTGTGGGTGTTCATCACTGGAGGGTTTTAGGAAGAGACTGGACAGGCACTTGTTTGAAATGGTATAGGGCAGGGCTGTCAAACTCCCAGGCCGCAGGCCAGATATGTCACGTGCTAGCCACACCCACACCTGGTTTAGAAAAGGGGGGGAAAGTCCTGATATGCCAACATGACGACATGAGTTTGACACTCTTAGTGTAGGGTCTCCTGCTAGAGCAGGGGGCTGGACTAGAAGATCTCCAAGGTCCCTTCCAGCTATTCTATCTCATCGAGTCATAATTTGCTTTAACTATGCTGTGTTGGACGAGCTGCAGTGGCTGTTAAAGCAAAACTCTGAGCCTCAGTGAGCAATTTGAAGATTAACACGGGGAGCTCCTTCCCTTTGCTAGAAATGAAGAGAAACTGTTTCTCCCATTTTTGAAGCAAGAAATATACAAGGCGCACGGTGAATCCATTTACGTTGCCCAGTTGTCAACCTCCATGTACTAGAGGTGTGCGTGTGTGGATGGATAGATGAATCTATCCATCTGTCATGCCCCTATTAGAATCTGACTCCGAGCGAGAGGAGGGACAGCCGACAGGGAGTGGGAGTGTGGAGGAAACTGGGGAAGGGCAGACGCCGGCTGGGCATTCAGAGGAAGACCCAGGCCCATCCCCTCTTCATCCTAGGACATGCAGGGAGGATCGGATAAGGGAGAAACGTGAATGGCGTGGTCTACGGGGGAGGAAAGGGCCTTGATCCCCTTCATGGGCTGCAGCTGTGAGGACTGTTTAAAAGGACAAACTGTGCATGGGCCAGTGCTGGAAGCGAAGTGTGAAAATATTTCTAGTCTTGTCAGTTCTTATCTGATTGGACTTTTAAAGCCAATTTGAAGGAATTAAATGGACTTCACCTGTTTTTGTGACTTTCTTGCTTCTGTATCCCACCCTGGGTCATCACACCATCCATCCACCCACCCACCCATCTGTCTGTCTAACCCAGGGGTCCCCAACCCCTACTCCACAGCCCGTTCACAACCGGGCTGTGGAAGTGGTGGGCAAGCGCACACATGCACATGCGATGCTGCATTTGTGAAAGCAGTGTGTGCCCACGAAATCATCTCCTTTCTCCCCCCCCCCCCCCAACCCCACTGAGCCAGAAAAATTGGAGACTGCTGATCTGTCCCATTTCTACAGGAATACACGAAAGGGAAGAGAGACTTTTTACCTGCAGATCTCAGGAGCCAAAGAAGTGGTCTCTTGTGGTTCCGAGCATCTTTTGGACTCACCCTCCCCATCCAGGCCAATCCTGATCTCTTCTGCTTTGGGGTAGCAGGGCCCTGAATCCAGATCTGGAAGCTCCGGGAGAACCTGGTTGTCACCAGGAGAGGTTGGCAGTTGTTGGATAACGGAAGCATTTTCTCCAGAATCAACAGGAGCCTCAATCTCATTTCCCAAATCCGTGGGGAGAGGCACTACAGATTCCGAGGGGATCCCGAACCCCTCACTTGCATCTTCCATGCCACCGTCCATTGTGATTGCTCCTCCAGGACGCGACAGCAATGACCCTACACTTGGAAACAAAATGGGTGTGTGTAATCTTGGACCTCAGGTAGAGGCAGGAGGAGTTTCAGCTTCATTCCTTTTCTCACAAGGCATCATTTTGGGGAGGGGAAGCGTGAGAGGGAGAGAAATCATTCTTCTGAACGCATGGTAGGGCAACTGTCAGGGTAGTTAAATACGGGGAGTCCTCGACTTATGACCACAATTGAGCCCAACATTTCTGTTGCTAAGTAAGTCAATTGTTAAGTGAGTTTTGCCTCATTTTATGACCTTTTTTTGCCACAGTTGTTAAGTGAATCACTGCAGGTGTTAAAATTAGTAACGCAGTTGTTAAGTGAACGTGGCTTCCCCGTTGACTTCGCTTGTCAGAGGATTGCCAAAGGAGATCACATGACCGCCAGGAGGCTGCAACTGTCATAAGCAGAGGTGGTATTCAGCCAATTCTGACAGGTTCCGGAGAACCGGTAGTGGACATTTTGAGTAGTTGGGAGAACCGCCAAATCCCACCTCTGACTGGCCCCGCCCCCATCTCTTCTCTGCCACCCCGAGTCCCAGCTGATTGGCTGGGTCTTCTTTTGTTGCCCTGCACAGGAGAACGGAGCTGGAAAGCAGGTTAGTGGGGTGAGGAGGGAATGGGGATTTTGCAGTATCCTTCCCCTGCCACACCCACCAAGCCACACTACACCCACCAAGCCATGCCCTCAGAACCGGTAGTAAAAAAAAAACCTGAATACCACCATTGGTCATAAATATGAATCAGTTGCCAAGCATTTGACTTTTGATTTTGAATTTTGAAACCATCATAAACACACTTCGGTTGCCAAGCAACTGAATTTTGATTATGTGACCACAGGGATGCTGCTACGGAGATAAAATGAGGACCGGCGGTAAGGGTTTTTTTTTCTTTCATGTCCCTATAACTTTATACGGTCACTAAACAAATGTTTGCAAGTCGAGGACTAACTGTATTAAAACGGCATTCGGCATTCTCCTTTCTCCAGGCAACGCTGCCCAAAACTTTCAGAAACCAGAGGAGTTGTGTGTGTTTTTAATATACAGCTTGTTCCTGAAAGCATTGGATGGCTTCAACAACGCTTAGTTCAGCTTGAGGAAGGAAAACACGATCCACCATTTTTAGTAACAGGCAATCCATTTGTACGTACAAACTTGGGTTAAAGCCAAAGTTAGCAACCAGACTCCTCCTTAACCTGTAGCTTAAAGCTGCCATCTTAGCAGAAATTAAGTGCTTGCCCCTATTAACAATAGTGTAATCCGATTTTAAAAAAGATGAACTTGTTAACATTGCGGTAGGATAAATTTTGTAATTTAACTACAAAAGTTGGCAGACCAATGGGGTTTGAGATTGATTACAAAAATAGATTTTTTTAAGCTTCATTCTGTTAACTTGTTTTAAAATCTGTTTTTTTCTAGCTCAGGAAACAATTTCTAATCCTGATTGGATTTGGATTTGGATTTTCCTAAAATGCAAGCAAAGGGGGAAAAAAGGGAAATGGAAAATAAAACTACCATAATGTAATGGAAGACCCAAAACATGAAATTGAAACAAACACACACAAAAGGCAGCACTAGAAAATATACCATATATAACACAGCCTACCTTACATGCATTTGATTAAAGGGCAAGATCCACTAAATGAAATCAGGCTTTTTTTTGTAGGAAAACACAGATAAGATATAACCTGTTTAAAAACTGGTAAGTTTTACTGCAGTGAGAATTTTCCAGGATATAGGAAAATATGGTTGCAACCTTCTGTGCATGGTTCACTGAGGGAAAAAGATAGATTAAAAGCAGGATGGCTACTTGCCAAAGAGACATACATAGACTCAATCTCCAAGGCCATCGTCCTAGGCAAAGGGCACTGAAGCTACACAGCAATTGTGCTAAAATACAACACCACCAAGTCTGTTCAAAGTCCCAGCCAGCTGAATTCTCTTTCATTCCACCCACTCAGTATTTTTTTAAAAAAATTATCAATCAACACTCCACATTTATTTGAGCATGCTCAGTCATCTCTGCTTTAAAAGTTGCTTGCCCTGTTTTGTTTTATTGTATTTAGTTTTAAAGAAGTTTTTATTTTAATGCTTTTAATACTAGGGACATTTTTCTTCTGGGCTTCTCACTGATCCTGTTTGTAGAAGGAGCAAGGCTTAAGATCCACACTGTACTGTATATCAAATGCAGCACATATACTGCTGGAGTAATAATTTTTATGTGAAGACATTAAAAATAGCTCATCCTTGTAGGTCCTTTCACAAAACTTGGTTTGTTAGGATTGTTATGCTGCAGTTGGATGCTGCATCTGCTGACAGGATCGATTTGAAAAGCCAGCAACCCACTAATCTGGCTGACACTTCTTTGCTTCCAAATAGGCAGGAAATTATGCAATGCCTGCTTTAAAAAAACAACAAAGGAGAGATATATACAGTGCAGTGTGGTTTGGTTGCTGAAGAAAAGTACAATATAACTGATTTATTGCTGCGGCTAAATATTCAGCAAGTTTTAGCTACTGAAATGCAATGATCGTCTCCCAAATTAAATTTAAAAGAGGAAAGAGAAAAACAGCTATATGCAGCGTAAAGAGTGTGAACATTTTTTGCTCCATCTTAAAGGCCAGATAAATTCTTAGCATGTTCACTTGAAAGAAAAATTTCTAGGTTTAAAGCCCTCTGAATACTCAAGTCTTCTGCATAAATTATTCTGAATTCTGAATTTATTTTCTACTTTTGTTTCAGTCTGATCCAGATTGCTTTCACTATCCCTCTGATGTCATTATCTACCTGATGATCTTCTCTTTTAAACTTGTTTTCATTTCTCTTTCACTCCCCCTCCATATATCTTTTCTTTTATGTACACTGAGAGCATTTGCACCAAGACAAATTCCTTGTGCGTCCAATCACACTTGGCCTTCTATTCTATATAGGAAAGTTTATAGTTCTCGAAAAAAAAATAAGCAATCTTAGGAAATCAAAATTTGGCCGTTTTTAAAAGATTTCACTTCAAAAAGTTCCCAAAGGGGCTTGAGAAGTTTCTAACAATATACGTTTTTAAGAGAATAAAACAATCTACACACTGTAGAAAACCTTTCCCCATCCCCTCTTTATTTGGGTGGGTGGGCGAGTGCAAGATTTAAAACAAAAGCATCCCTTTGGACAAACTTACTTCTAAGAAAAGTTTGGCTCTCAAGTTTGAAGAGAAAGATGAACCCTTTGTGAGTCGCAAGTTCTTCGGAATCCCTTGCGGGCCGGGATCCAATACCGAGCCAGGATTAGGCCAGCAAATTGCGGATTAAAGCTGAACATATATATATAAAAATATTCAACCACGTATTTTTCTTCCTGGGGTTCGCTCTCGCTCGCCCGCTCGCTCACTCGTTCCCATTAGGATTGAGCATGTGCTCAGAGAGGATTCTGGGAGATGTAGTTTTGTGTCAATAAGGTTTAGCTTTCCAAAGTAAAAGTATCGGTATATCCGCCTTACAAATTTGAAAAAGGAGAGTTTGCCTAGCTTTCATGACGGGATGGTCCAGATTTCTATGTTATTCAGAAATCTGCAATTTCTTCATCAAGTCACAAAAAGATAGCTTTTTTTAAAAAAAAATGCATTCCCCCCCCCCCCCCCCAAATGAATTTAGTGGTTGCAGAGTTGAGTTTATTTCCTTTCAACATGAAGAATTGGTTGCCTACTGTACAAACCAGACTGCCGTCCTGTTTGCTGATGTAATGCAAAACCTTGCTCATATTTCACCTGTTTTCTTTGTCAAATGAAGCAGAGCCTGGAATAGCATGCGTCTGCTGATCAGGTTGCCTTTTGATGATGAGGATTGAATTGCCTTTAAAAATCTATGGTGCTGTTCCACTTTTTGTCACAGATCCAGAATAAGTAACATTAGATTCCGGGGAAGCTGCTGGTCTCTGGCAACTTGTTTGTGTTAGGGTGTACCCTAACTCTACAATATTTTATTTATTAAATTTATTGGCCGCCTATCTTACTAGAGAGTAACTCTGGGTGGCTTACAATATAGTTGTTTGCTGAGGGATGTAAACGTAATGTACTACAAAGCATTTCTCTCATCTTCTTAGTCCAGACTTCCATTTTTCAGATAGTTACAACAGGCAAGGAAGGAAGGAAAGGAGAGAAGAAGGAAGGAAGGAGAGAGAGAAAGAAATAAGTTCACTCAAACATAGCCAATTTTCTGTCATAGAGCTTTGCCTTTTGCTCAGGGATTCTGGGAATTTATTTTTTCTCACAGTCTGAAAAGTTTTCTCACAGCCACAAAAAGCTACCTTTTTGTGACCCTTGCTTAGAAAACAAAGCAGAGAAAAAAACTGCTGGGCCACCCCAATTTTAAAAACAAAACAAGACTAACTCTGAGCATGGACAAGAGGATTTTTTTAAAAAAAAAATCATTTAAATTCAAATATCATCTTATTTAAGAATCAGTTCCCAGATAGAAAAAGATTCGGGAAGCCATACATGAACACCAAGCTTTTAGATCATAGGTAGATGCGGGTAGTCCTCATCTTACAATCATTTGCTAAGCAACTGCTTGAAGTCACAATGGCACTGAATAAAATGACTATGATTGGTACTCCCATGTATGACTGTCATAGCATCACCAAGGTCACATGATTAAACTTCAGACACTTGGCAACTGGCAAGTTTTGACAGTTGCAGCATTTTGGGATCATGTGATCACCATTTGTGACTGGAGATACAAGTAGTCCTCGAGTTACGACCACAATTGAGCCCAAAATCTATGTTGCAAAGTGAAAAATTTGTGATTTCTATCAATTCTTTTGTCTTTTATTCTACTATCTCCTTGTATTGCCACATCAATCTTCCACACTCTTGTCTTTTCAGCCACCCTTAAATCTTGTGTGTTATGTGCCAACACTCTATCAGTTTATATTTGGAAATCCCACAATATTTTAATCTGTTCATTCTGAACTATTTTTCAACTCTATGTTCCCACAGGGTTGTTATATAATAGTTATTCATATTGTAGTTCATGGTAGAGTCAGCCAGTTGTCCAAACTGGATTTGGCATTTTTACCATCTATATTAGCTACTTTTTTTTTAAAGTCCCTGCAGTCACAGGAAATTAAAATAATTCCCTTCCTTGTCCCCTTTTCTGGACAGATACAGAGTTCTCAAATTATGACCATAATTGAGCCCAAAATGTATGTTACGAAGTGAAATATTTGTAAAGTGAGTTTTTTTTGCCTGATCCTAATAAAATTTTATCTAATTGCTGGAGTTTATTGTTAATTCCAAATTCTTTCTTGTCCTATCATTCTTTCATTCTTAGACTGTAATTTCCACCAATTTTCAGTCATAGAAAACTGATGGTTGAAGAAGACTCAGTAGTCCGTTAAGTCTGCCTTTTTGTTTTTGTTTTTTTTCTTTTTAATTGTTTTTAATTATGTTCATTTTATTTTATATTTTTGTCAGATGATGGACATGTCTTTATCCCAAGCATGTTACTGGTAAAACTCAAATGTTTAAACTCCAAAGCACCTGAAAGTCAGACAGGAAGTGATGGATGGAAACTAATCAAGGAGAGATCCAACCTAAGGAGAAATTTCCTGACAAGAATAATTAATAATTAATCAGTGGAATAACTTACCTCCAGAAGTTCTTCAACACTGGAGATTTTAAAGAAGAGATTGGACAACCATCTGTCTGAAAAGATATAAGGTTTCCTGCTTGAGCCCGGGGGTCAGACTAGAAGACCACTGAGGTCCCTTCCAACTCCATCATTCTGTTTTTCAGTTATTGTTGACTGACTCACAACCTCCCTTGGGAGTTGGTTTCAATGTTCCCCACGCCTCTTTCTGTGAAGGAATACTTTCTGACATTATTTTTGAACTTTCCTCTTGTCAGTTTGAGATTTGCCCCCGCCCCCTGTTCTTCATTTTTGCTTAATGTTGAAAATACTGCCTTCTAGAACCTTATTCTCACCCTTAATATAATATAAAGTCCTACTGATTACGGAGATATGTAGGCTGTAATTCAGCAGCATCCGCCAGCCAACATAATTTTTAAAATCAGCAATCTTAAATGAGTGGGTTCTAACCTAAAAAAAATGTCCAGGTGTGTAGACATCAACCCACAAATTATTCTTTGTTGACTGGGGACTGGAAATTCCACATATTTGAAAGTTGTCCAAATTCCTTAGGATTGAATTGTAAGTACTACACGACAGTACACCACAGTTTATTTACAATCATTGACCTGTCAGATGTGGCATGCTCAAAATCCATAGTGAACATTAGAATGAAAGTACAATCATAAATAAAAATAGCTGAGGGGTCAAGTGGGGTGGAGAAAAATAGTTATTTTTGTAGTGAGGAGGGATTAATTCAAGCTGTACATATTTTCATCTTTGCGCAGGATTGCTTTGCGTACACTAAATATCTCTTGGAACACAGAGATTCTATTTTAAACTCATCTAAGATATAGTGAACTTTAAAAAAAAGAATGGACAGATGGACTATCCTGACAAATCTGAATATTGTATGATAGGGACGGAAAAGAACTGCACCAGTAGCTTGTTCTCTGTCATAAATATATCAGAATCCAATAGAATATAGACGCTTTTTTGAGCAAATCTACAATATGCCATCAACTTCAACGACTTCAGCTAACGAAGCGGGTTAGGGATGGTGGGAGTGTTTTCCATTTGGACGTCAATTATAATGAACATTTTATAACATTTCATTAAGTGCAGGATTCTGCGGAGATTTTTCCCTGGAAGGAACCTATTGCAGTCTGTGAAATATTTGTCCAGGCGGACTGAAGAAGACGGCTTTTGCGATGCAGCACGTTTGAGGCAGGGGCGCCCGGTTGGGGAAGGAAGAAGTGAAGTCGTCTTCGTAATCAGCGCTCGGCGACCGCAAAAGGAAACAGGGAGGAGGCAAACGAACTACGTTTCCCAGAATGCTCTCTGATTTCTGCGCCGACTCCGTGCGTCTGAAGCCTCCAGACCCAGCCAGCGGGAGGTTTCGAGGTCGCATGGCTTTGGTTGGGCTGCAGCTGCGGGCTGCTGTCCGCTCCTCGGTCTGCAGCCTTTCATGGTCGCGGCTGACGGTCAGAAACTATGCTGCCAAAAAAACGGGTAAGCCAGAGTGGAAGGGAGCGTCCTCCATGGTCGGATGGAGGGGCGAGGGGCATCTAAGAAGAGCCTTGCACATCCTGGACAACCATTTGTCTGAAAATGGTTTCTTGGCTGAGCAGGGGGTTCGACTAGAAGACCTCAGAAGGTCCCTTCCAACTTCGTTATTCTGTTAAAGCCTTCCTCTTCCTTTGTTTATCTTTGGTAGATTGCTCTTCTGCATGGAAGTTCGATTTGTGCTGTCGCCCCAGCCTTTTAGAGGGAAGGAGCCAGTGGATTAGTTTGAAACCTTATTGCTTTTAGATTTTTTTTTTATTTATCCTTGCCGGTGTTTCTCGACGTTATCAACTTTAACATGTGTGGACTTCAACTCCCAGAATTTCCCCTGCCAGCATTTTGGCTGAGGGATTCTGGGAGTTGAAGTCCACACCTCTTAAAGTCATTGAGATTGAAAAACACTGAACTATAGCCTGCCTTTAGGTCTGCCTTTAGGTCTGCCTTTAGCCACTACAGCAAAACTATCTCTTAGTTGTATTAGTCTAAAAGCTTTATATATTTTATATATAAGATAACCTTTATTGACATTTTTTTTCTGTGGGCACTCTCGCACACATTAAAAATGAAATTTTATTGCCTGTTCTCAACATAACATACATATAGATATGCTATATACAAAAATATGTATATTCCTACACCCTAACATATAAATACATATAAACATTAATCACTGTCCATCTTGAATACATGGTGGAAAGAGGAAGCTTGAGAATTCGCAAGGTTGACACTATGTGGAACAAAACTGTGGCTGAATCTGGATATATATATATATGACATTAGTAGAAGTTCAGGCAATACACTAAGCCCAAACTAATCAAAATACTGGTAGTCCTTGACTTATGACCACAATTGGCCCACAATTTGTTGCTAAATGAGACATTGTTAAGTGAACTTTGCCTCACTTTACAACCTTTCTTGCCACAGACATTAAGTGAATCACGGGAGTTGTTAGTAACACGGTTAAGTGAACCTGCCATCCCCACTGACTTTGCTTGTCAGAAGATCGCAAAAGGTGATCTCATGACCCTGGGGCACTGCAACCGTCATAACTATGAGTCAATTGCCAAGCATCTGACTTTTAATTACGCGACTTGGGGATGTTGCAACGGTCGTAAGTGTGAAAAATGGTCATGAGTCACTTTTTTCAATGCCACTGTCACTTTGAATAGTCGCTAACTGAACTGTTGTGACTCGAGGCCTA